CCAAGCAGGTGGCCAAGAAGGCGCGGGAGAGGGCCCAAGAGGCCATGGATCTGTGAGTTGTCCAGTTCACTCTCAACCCCTCTCCACCTCCATTGCCACCAATAGACCTCACTGACCAAGCGAAGGTGTGTTTTTACGAGCACTGGTTAAACCGGAGGCCCAGAATTGTGGAAAGTAGAAAAGCAAAATGAATGTTACGGATTCACACTAAATGATGTTCTTAAGCGTACTTGGGACTTTTTCGATAGGCAACCTAACCCGACTTGCTGAGGGTCCAAAGATGTCGCCCGACCACCCTTCACTCGACGGGGTGCAGATGAGAATGACGTCCATTGCTCGGCTACAGCGTTGTGTGGGTACAATCTGTCACGTACCAAGAAAAGGCGAGTTTCAAAAAATCTCTCGAACTAAAGTTGTTGGGGATACTTTCATTTCGTATGAAAGTGGAGGATGAAGAGATTGTTAGGTCAATCTCACCAGAAGGCGACGGCTGATTTGCATTGTACTGTACGTTCAGGTTGATGCAGTCCACGAGACATCTGTTCTCGTTTCCTGATAAAAGAAGACCAGCTAAAGGTGTGATTACGCCTCGTTAAATCAGCTCAAAAGGACACATTTCTGAGGTACTTAAGAATAAACAAGTTTGAAGTGGCGAATAAAAAGAGGAACCAGAATCATCCAGAAGAAAGTTGTTAACGGGACAAATTTCACATGTCTTTTTGACCAGTTGCGGTTTGTTGCCAAGGCTGGCTGAGCTAAATTACGATGCCGGCGAAACGTCTGTAAGTGTACTAAGTCCCCGGTCCGAAGCTGGAAATTATCATGGCAATATGCGTATATCAAGATCGCCTTGACAACATGATCAAGTAACAAAAACGAGGCTGTCACTTCCTTACCTTGAAAGGAGACTGAGACCAAAATAGAGACCAACTAGAAGTTCTCATTTGGACCGGACTGTGTTAAAAGTCATGCTTGTGGTGTATGAGTTGTCTGGAAATGGAGCAGTAGAAGTGGATGCCAAAATTAGACCTACTCATTCATTCTATTTGGACGATTCACTAAGAGTTCACTAAAAGCCAATCAAAAAAGAGGCTTTTGGATGCTTCTGTTGAAGCATCTTCCAAGGCACCTCCTTTCCAGACTGGCAGGCATCTACGGCTTTGGTGGACGTCCGAAATAACCAAGTCCTACAGACGTCGGGCGAGGGCATGAGGCAAGGGGCCTGAGAAGTCTTGAATAGGCGGTGGTTAAAGTTGGTATCTAGGCCGAGGCGTAGGAGATGCTGAAAGTTGTCGGAAAGAAGTCGGTTGCGCTAAAAGCTTCTGTCGTTTGCCTTTCGATTACGGAGCGAATTATCTACTAAATAGGGGTTTCGCAGTCACCACGGAGCCTAAGTGCTGCTGATCTCGTGTGTGTCGTGGCTATTGTGACCACTACAGCAGATGCCTGGGCCGTCTTTTGAGCTCTATGCAAGAGTGCAGGTGAGACGAGATAGTCTCGTAGATGCCTACACTTGGCAGATGATGCTCAGGCTAACTTTTCCGCTAGTGGTGTTTTTGTGCTTTAAGCAACTCACTACTGATATTCATGATCAGTAGTTTTAATTAAGTATATTTTGATTTGTTTGACCTTGTTTTCGCAACTTGATTATATTGGCAGGAAGACCCAGTACATTGTACGCATGATCATTTCCAAAGTCGGATCGTGGACGTGGTACATTCCAAGACGTTTCGCCGGCATCGTCAGCGAGTCTTGCCTCTCCTAGCACCACACTACAACTCGTCAAAGAAACAAGTGAAGCCGGTCCTTTGACCAATTTTGTGCTAAAAAATCGTGGTATCTCTTCTTCCGCCCTGAACTAGCCATCAATCCTATATCCTCGTATCACACCTTCACTATCACAATTTTTACTTGCTTATTTAAATGTGAAATGGTGTGCCCTTATGAGCGGATTTCATGTGAACTCTGCACACTCTACGCTGGCTTTCTCACCCCCTTACCCCCCTTCACCATTGTGCTGGGAATGTTGATCAGAGTCTGTTATATTGTTACGCAGTCCTACTCCCCTCGGTCTTATCACAGTCTCCCTCTTGCCCAGTAGGATCCGTCTGTTATCTCCCTGGTTCAAGTATTTCACTTGACCCCTGCCACCCCATTTTGCTCCACGAGGCATTATTTCCCACATTCTACATTATCAGTCTTAGCACCACAAATTGTTTTCTCTATCCGATGGTGCTAAGACTGGCGATACCGGTGCCACGT